CCCCCCCGCCCACTGCACCGCGGTGCACTCTGCTCGGGCAAGTCAAGGGAGGCAAGGGCAAAGTAATTCCGCTCGACCAATAATATAATGAGCTCTCATGAATAACACCGTGGCTATTCAATTTCCCATTGCCATCCGCCGGCGACCAGCGCGGCGCTAAGGGCGCGGCTGCGCGGCTCTCACGGGGTATGTGGGTCGGGTCGGCTCGGTCAGCCCACCCTGCCCGTCACCCCTGCCCTACTTAGGTCCGGCCGACGCCCACGCACTGCTAACGCTCTGGCGGCGAAGGGGTGCGAGCGCTCAGCGGGGCGGGGTCTAGGCCGCGTGTCTAGGTCTAGGATGGGTGCTTGCGCTTGCGGTTCGCGCACACCGGGCGCGGCGGACGTGACATTCCCAGCTCCGTAACGTGGCGCACTGCAAAACGTTTGCGAAGATTGGGTTCACGATTCGAACTCTATTCTTTGCATTCTTTGCAAATATTCAAGCTTTGCATGTGACAAGGTAATTCTTTCCGAGCTCACAAACTTAATTCCTTTGCAATGCAGAGCCAAAGCTAATGGTTTGCAGGGATTCCGTAATCATGCGAAGAAATGTTGCGCCGAATGCGCGGATTCTTCGCAACAACGCAAAGAATTTAGTTCGCAAGCTTGTAACAATGCGGCGGTAGCGCCAGGGGGCGCCTCGCGGGTGGGCAACCCCGCCGCACTGCTGTGCGCCACGGGGCGGCCTACCCTCCGGCTGGCAGGCGCTCTGGCCTCCGCGAGAGATGGACGGCCAGCACTGCCGACGGCGGTGGCTTCGCGGGCCGTGTCCGTCGCGAGTCCGCCGATTGAATGACTCTGGAAGAATGGGAGGCCATGGGGACGGGTGCTTATGCTATCGGCAAACACATGGGCGAGGCGAGCCAGGCGAGCAAACACTGGATGAACCGGAGAGGGAAGTCCGGCGGCCGCGCGGCGCCCCGCTCGCGCCCATGAGGAAGAGGGTCCCGGACCAGTCGGCAAACATCGAGGGCATTCATCGCGCTCAGGGGGTGCTGGACTCGGCTAACGAGATTGAGAGTGCTGGTCACAAACTGCTTCGTAGCCGAATAAATATAATGGAGCACAAGTACGCATGAATGAATGGGATTTATCGCAGGCGAGTAATCCAGTGAATTTATATTTTACCCGTCAAGAATATTTATGGTTAACTTATGTAAACAAAGTGAACTCATGCTCAAGCAGTGATGCGGCCAGGGCCGTTGCTCACCTGTACCGCCGGGGTGAGCAGGTCTGGGGCTCCACGGACAGCGCGTCCAGCATCTTCAGGTAGTAGAGGACCAGCTTGCGTGCCAGCTCCATGTCGAGGGGAGGATGGGCGTGCGCGGCGAGCAGGGGACGAGGTGTGCGACGGTATCGCAGCCAAAGTGCGACAACGAAGGGCCGAAATCTCGGTGAGCGGGCTTGAAGCGCTGAGCTACGGGCCGCAACGTGCTTCGCGGGCTGGGATGGGAGCGCACTGCTCAGACTCGCGGACAACAACAGACTGAGTCGGACGGCACGACACGACGGCGCGCCGGGCCGGACCGGGCGCAGGCCGGGCCGCTCTCCTCTCTCCTCCCCCACCCGGCCCGGTCCTTCCCTCTCTTCCTCCAGAGCCCGCCGCCGGGCCCGGCCCGTGGCCCAGTGAAAACACACAAGTAGTTCCGCACTCCAGTTATCGAGAGTGAAATGAGATTGTCACACGCACGGGATAAGCAGTTTGAAATAACAATTTATTAAGACTATATACAGACGCGCCGGGTTTGCTGGCTTTGGTGGTAAAATTATTGAGAGAATTAGAGGTTTACAGACAGTTCTGGGAAAGACATTCTGTGGTCTGTTCTAAAATTCAATTACATACGTAAAACAAACAAATTTCCAGCTAGCTATTTAGTAGTTCATTAAAAAAAACAGAAATAGAGGAAAATGATAACTGATAAACTCAGTTTGAGACGCTTTACATAGAATCCTCCATATCTCCTGGTTCAATCAACAATTCCATGTCCTGCACAGTGGTGATTCCTGCCAGTGCTGCATCTATTACTGATGTCGATGAATTTGACTCTGATTCAATAGTTTCTTCTTGAGTCTCAGTTAATGTTTCCACATACTGAAATACTTCATCTGCAGGAATTTGATGAGCAATTTGGATGTGTTTTGAACACTCAGATCTGAGGCGGAATTGCTTTTGACAATGTAAGCACCTCCATGGTTTCTCTCCAGTGTGCACCCTAGTGTGAGTTCTCAAATTGTCAATACGGGAGAAGCTTTTATCACAGTACTTGCATTTATACATATCATTGGGGTCCATGTGTATCTGAAAATGACAGAAGAAATTGTTGGCTGTTAAATTTCTAATACAAATTTAGAAGTAGACTGTACAATAATGCAATAAGTCTACTACTTACTGCTTTGTGTTGTTTTAGGCAATTTCTGCTGCGGAAACCTTTACCACACACTTGGCACTTGTAAGGGCGTTCATTAGTATGGGTCATTTCATGATTTCGCATCCTTTCTTTGATCATGAAACCTGCTCCACAAACACTACAAGAGTAAGGACGTATGCCAGCATGCCACATGTGGTGATGTCTTAGCAGTGTTGAATTTGCAAATGAACGGGTGCATCGATCACATTCAAACCTCTTCCCTTGAGGTGCATTAGCTCTTTCATCAGCATGATCATCATTGTAATGTCTCATTAGTTCTCTCATATTGGGAAATTTGACAACCTTGTTACTTTTAGCTACACAGAATCTACAAGTAAATGAGCGGCGTGAATTGTCAACCGTTCCCTCACCAGACCTAAAACAATAAAGAGAGAGAAAACACAAGTTTTATGTAAATGAACTGTATAATGTTTGAAATCACAACTAAAGCATCATTAATTTAAGAAAGAATTTGAAATTTGAAACTTACTTTGACTTAGTATGGCTTGCCTCATGAATACGGAGATGATCTCTCCTATGAAAGCGGCTGGGACAAAATTTACACTGCAATTTTCGTTCTCCATGCAACACTTCATGTTGCCGTAAGCCGTTTAGAGTATTAAAAACTTTTCCACAGGATGAACAAATAAACTGCTGACGATTATCATGCTTTTTCAGATGTGCTTCATACCTATGCCTACACAAAAACAAAAATTATTTTTAAAATAAAGAAATAACTGTTTAACTACAACTCATAAACGCAATAAAACTTACTCAAGTTTAAAACGCTTTTTGCACGTGTTACATTGATATTGATAATCTGCAGCATATTCATCATGACGGGCAATATGGGTTCTGTAATTGGATGCTGACTTTAGAACTAACCCACATATGTCACATAACCATGAAGTTCTCTTGGTGTGTACAATAACATGGTCCTGCAACTCTTCTTGTGTGTTGAAATTTCGGTGGCACACTTCACAACTCAGCAGACTTCCCTTATTTATAGCCTGAACCTTCTCAGCTAATGTTCGTTCTTTACAAACAGCAGTATGACGTTTCAAGTTTTCTTTAGCTTTGAATCTTCTTTCACACCGGGAGCATTGATATTGCCTCAAAACTGTTCTTCTTAGGCTATTTTGCCTCCAAGTCACACCCCAGGATTTTTTACGCAAAGTTTCAGATGGTGTTGTAATATTATGAATAACATTCATGTGCTCCAGAACTTTTCCAGGAGTTAAAAAGTATTTCCAGCAAACTGAACATTGTAGGTCTGGATGTTCTTGTAGATGACTTTCAACATCAGCTCTGGATTTTGCAGCAAATTTACATACACGGCAAGTAAGCACATGAGGGATGTCAGGACTGTCAGCCAACTGCCAGGTAAATAACTTTTGGTATGAGCTTACTAAATATCCACTTTTTCTCCACATAAAACTAAGAGACAACTTGCGAGCATTGCGCCTATCAAAATATGTAGATGGGCTGTCAACAGTAGCATGTACATCCATGGGACGATCTTTTAATTTCCTTGTTCCATCTAAAATTTCCGATGGAATTGTTGTTTCACTCGCTATAGTAATTACTGAACTTCCTTTAGGAAGAATTGCTCTTTCTTTAGGTTTCACAACTGGCTTTCCTTGATCTTTCAGAGGTGTACCTTTGGAGAAGGTTGCTTGCAATTTCTTGTGAATATCCTCGCGGCTGTCAGAGTTTCGGAGCACAATCCCAACTATTTTGTCACCTAATTTAAACTGGTTACCCATATTATTAATTTTGGTGATCATCTTATCTTTTAGTTGACTTATATCAATCTGAGGCATCTTTGTCTCCTTAGGACCCTTAGATTTGGTTTCTTTGATAGGCACCAATGAAGGCAAAGGAATATCTTGGTTTCTTAACTGAGGTAGTTCTTCAGCATAACAGTGGTCATCATAGACATGGTCATCATCTTCAGAGGCCACACTTGAGGAAACATTTGGAGGTAAGGCAACTGGAACATTATCTTGATCTGGCTTTTGATTGACTTTAATGAAGTTGCTTGGGAGACGCACCAGATGTGGCACAGAACTGGAAGGTAATGCACCTGGAGGTAAGGTTATCCTTACTGCAGAAGACGGAACAGATTTTGAAGATATCATGGTTAGAGGAACTGATAATGCAGGATGTGACTGAACAATAAGATTCTGATTAGGGCCCGGTGAGGGCGCAATTGGAGTAAACGGCTTCATGATCAAAGGTGGTAAGCTGGTTGGAGTTGATAAATTCATGGAGCTTCCTGTAGTAGTTCCAAGACCTTTCTTAGGCGCAATATTCTGAAATGACAGTGTTGACGGAACTGTATTAGTGACTGCCACTTTAGACTGGGCTGAAGCAGAAGTCACATGTACTGTATTTGGGGCCATCATAGAAGAACTGATAATCAATGGAACTTGATTAGTAGATGTTTTCGGGATCTTCATTTTCTGCTGTTCAGACATAGTTGTTGGACCAACTTTTCTCTTCTCTGCAGGGTTTGCTTCGCCTCCAGGACTTGCAAACAACATTGAGATTGCTTTTTTCATCTGCTCTGGAAACGCATCTGAGCCTCCTTGCAGATCTAAGAACATAATCTTGCCCTGTGGTTTAGTTTCCCTTGATTCCTGATAACCGAGAGATAAACATTTACATTAGAACACAGCAGGATTTAATTCATTATTACATTACCTATTTAGTAGATAAGTAAACTTTACCTTTGGCTTTAAACGTAAGTTGAGTTCCTGAATAGCCTGATGAATCATGCTTTTGACAGGTATGCCTTCTTTTAAGGACATTTCTAAAAGCAAAACTCTTCTATTCTAGAAGGTGGGGAAAAGATCAATGTCATCACACATCTTCATTGATTGAAAAACTAAAAAAATTGGGATATTCATATACTTACTCCTCCACTACCTATTTGAGATTGTGCTGGTTTAGAAATGATGACTGAATTATCTGATGAACTCTGTAACAGAAAAGTCAATGAAAATAAAA